AACCCGAGAATCGGACTAAGTGGCGTTTCACAAAAAGGCGGAGACTTAGTCAAGACTAAATTTGGGTTTAAATCTAGGCCTGCTCGTGAGTAGGCGTAAGTGCTTAGTCTGTACACACATTGGAAAAAAAAGACGTGTTTTAATCATAAAGAGTTAAAAGAATGATTATTTTATACGTATACGATATAATACCTATTCATAAACATGTATATAATTATATGATATGCCAAAAATCGTGAAAATTCTTATACAGCATACTGTATTATGAAGGAAATTAGAAAGGTAGTTAAATCCATCGAAGATGCAGACTTTTTCCGCAAAAGGTGGTATGAACTAGAAATTTTTAACTAAGAATTTTGAATACAAGTTGGGTAAGATTTTTTTAAAGATGTGCCAGACTTTCTTCGTAGAGGGTTGGAGAGGGGAGGGGGGTCAACCCTACCATTTTTATTGCAGTTATCTGTTTTCTGTATAAATAAAGCTGTGTAATTTATGGACTGACTTCAACTTTCAGCATTTCTCTTTTTGGCTGAATATTTTGATCACCAAATTCACTGTACTCACCACCACCCCCTTCCCCTTCCATATTAACTTTTTAAAAACGATGCTACATGCTTTAGGTCCTGGATAATTTTTTTGTTGTTTGAAACGGATAATGTTTCAATAAAATCCTCAAACAATATCCATTTTTATACTAGTATTTTAGATAATGAAAAAAAATTCGGTAACTATGCCATCAACCGAGTTTATGTACTTTAACTTAAGTTAATGTATCTTTGATTCTCTCTTTTAATTGCATGTAATTTAATATTACATTGTATATTGATAGAACATAAAAATTTAAATTTGTAAAATGTTCCAGTATTATAATTAAAGTATTCTGTCCATAATACTGTTCATTCCTAATTTTCACTGGAGTCACTATCGAAAGGTAAGATGTGTAGATGAGTCTATTATTTTTTCGTAAAGATGCTTTTGATAAATTGTCAATCTATCACGTTTCTCGGACGAAGTTTGCCTAAAAAGGTTTTTTTGATAGTTTTTTGAACAGAAAAATAATTTATATTATATTTTGAAACAAAACTATTCATATAATAATGATGATAATAAAGTGTTTTAAAATGTTTTATTGTGAATGTAAATCGCGACTTGTTAATATCTTTAAGTCTAGATTACATCTTCAAAAAACATTCTTCATCTATGAAAAAAATAATAATGTATGAACATATCCTCAATATAAATTGAAAAGGAATGGACAGATTTAAGGAAAAGATGGTGATGTTGAAATTAGTACCTTTCCCGCGATCTAAATGAATCTGATTTGAAAATATTGAAATGGAAAATTCAAATGGAGAAATTTATAAAAATTACTAGATTCCTTGTCTGTAATATGATTCACAGGAATTGTAGATTTAAAACTAATTTAGCTTTTGCAAGCCATCATTGATTCTGCAATTTCTCTATATAAGTACGTATTTTTACATGGACAATGTAAATTATTATATCGATATCAATGTAATTCTCCTGAACTGAACTGAAATGCCAGTATGTCTAATTCGTAATGAATAAATGGATTGATAATATAAAATTAAAACAACTTATAATTTTTCTTCAAAATTCTCTTATCCATGTTTTATTGATTATCATTATGATATGATTTCAAAATTGTTAAATTTTAACAGTGTGGTTTATGGGCTCCGGTTCTTCACTCTTTCTCTGCGTTGAGTATTTTAACTAGAGAAAAACTTCCCTGAGATACTTGTTGCCCCCCCCCCCCCATGACTTTCAAATATATTGCTACGAGCCTGTTCCAACCCCATGCCATATAATTTATGGGACTCATAGGAAAAATTTCTTTTTATTCCAAATTTTCGCAAGTACGTATAATACCGGATATACACGTTTATATTTTTCTATAGTATATATTTCACTTTTAAATTTATCTGAGCATACCAAAATACATATAACTATTTAATATAAAAGTTGTGGTTGTAGAGGGGGAGGGGGTTGTGTCCAAAATAATAACAAAAGATTTGCTCAATCAATTTTTTGTGTGACTGTGGGTCCCAAAGGATCCAATTTTAATTAGATTGGGCCCCTAACCCAACCTATACATGTACATGTATGCAGAAGACCCGTTCCTCCTGCTCACCACGGGGAAGTGAAAGTAGGACTTTTATAAAACAGGATGGTTTTTTTTTAATTAAAATCAACAAATAATTCGTCGAGGTTTGTTTTGCAGTTGCTTTTGCAACTCTTTTCAACGCATCTCCACAATTTTGAGTTTTTCAAAGTCTAATTTTTTTTCTAAATTTATTTAAAAAAAATCAATAAGTAAGCCGGCATTCCCTCGATTTGTAACAAACTTCTCAATGGTTGCCATAATGTTCAGAGCTAAAATATATATGTCTCATTCTCATAACTCTCTCTGTTCCATTAGAACTCATGTACACACACGAACTATACAAGCTCATCGATAATGTAGCGGTAAAAAAGTTGTTTTTGGCTGATTCAGTATGTGCGGTAACAGTTGTTTTTTGCTATATAAAATATTTAGAATTAATGATCAGAGAGAGAGAGAGAGAGAGAGAGAGAGAGAAATTTTTGGCAATAGAAAAAAAGCGGTAATGTTGACCTCCCCCCAACCCCAATCTGCCCCTTTTGTCAATATTTCTGAATCCGCTAATACTAGCTAGTATGTAAATGCGTTGACCTTGAAAATACAGATAGATTCGTGAATTATATTTGTCTGAAAGACGACGAAAAGCCAGGGAAAGTTCGTGCTTCTTGTGCTTTACTTTTTGTGATCATGTTTAAGTGTGATCCGCCGCATGTTCTTGTACTCTCTAAACCAAATAAAATACGGTCTGCGCATGCTTAGTACCTAGCGGAAAGGTCTAAGTCCTAGGCCTAGTCTTACGCCGTTTTCTGAAACGTGATTTAGGCCCGACTAAATTTTGGCGTAACTTTCTTAGTCGGACTAACTTAGGCCCAAATCTACGACTTTTTGAGAAACGAGCCCCTGAAAGATAACGTAGGTTTAACGTTTATTCGAAACTAAACGACAACCATTTCCGTTTTAATATTGTTTACATTAGATGGAGAGGACTTATTTAAAATATAATCAACACTGAAACCAAATATTGTTTATTTTATGGAAGTTATTCAATTAGTTCACGAACTTTTTGTTCACCCCTCGTATAATTCTTTTTTTTTGTTTTTGTATTTAAAACTTGTGGTAAATATTGTCATACTGGTGTTAACGTTGGTGACCCTGTTTGTAATTTTTCTCGTTTGTTGTCTCCTTTGGTATTGTTGTAGAAGCAAAAGGTAAATTGTTTATTTAATTCAGACTCAAAAGAAAAGGTTCTTTTTAATTTTAACGTATCCTCACATAATTTGAACAAGAGGCCCATGGGCCACATCGCTCACCTGAGCACTAAAGGTAGGAAAAAGTAGAAAATGGTTTTTATTGTAAAGTTTAAATCCAAAAGAAGTCCCATGACCAATCATGGATTTGCTATTTTTTAGAAAATGATTTTAAAAGAATTTTCCTATATATTTCTATGTAAAACTTTGGTCGGCCATTTTGACCCCGCCTTACCCCGGGGGGGGGGTCATGATTTGAACAAACTTGAACCTACACTACCTGATCATGCTTCTATTTAAACATGATGAATTATGGCTTTGCCATTCTTGAGAAGAAGATTTTTAAAGAATTTTCCTATATATTTCTATGTAAAACTTTGGTCGGCCATTTTGGCCCCGCCCTACCCATAGGGGTCATGATTTGAACAAACTTGAATCTACAATACCTGATCATGCTTCCATATATATATGATGAATTATGGCTTTGTCATTCTTGAGAAGAAGATTTTACAAGAATTTTCCTATATATTTCTATGTAAAACTTTGGTCGGCCATATTGGCCCCGCCCTACCCCCGGGGGTCATGATTTGAACAAACTTGAATCTACACTACCTGAGCATGCTTCCATATATATATATAATGAATAATGGCTTTGTCATTCTTGAGAAAAAGATTTTTAAAGAATTTTCCTATAAATTTTTTGTAAAAATTTGGTCGGCCATTTTTGCCCCGCCCTTCCCCATGGGGTCATGATTTGAACAAACTTGAAACTATACTATCTGAGCATGCTTCAGTATAAATATGATGAATTATGGCTTTGTCATTCTTGAGAAGAAGCTTTTTAAAGAATTTTCCTATATATTTCTATGTAAAACTTTGGTCGGCCATTTTGGCCCCGCCCTACCCCTCGGGGTCATGATTTGAACAAACTTGAATTTACACTACCTGAGGATGTTTCTCCATAAGTTTCATCTTTCCTGACACAGTGGTTCTTAAGAAGAAGATTTTTAAATTAAATATGCCACCAAATTTTCAGTTATTCCCAATTATCTCCCCTTGAATGAGGGCGTGGCCCTTCATTTGAACAAACTTGAATCCCCTTCACCCAAGGATGCTTTGTGGCAAGTTTGGTTGAAATTGGCCCAGCAGTTCTTGAGAAGAAGTCGAAAATGTGAAAAGTTTACAGACAGACAGACAGACGGACGCCGGACAAAATGTGATCAGAAAAGCTCACTTGAGCTTTCAGCTCAGGAGAGCTAAAAATAAGAAGACAAATCAAATTCTTTCTAAAACTTAAAACTTAACAGAAATAATTATATTATTCAGTAGTCAGACGCGTTGGCACTGTACATATTTTAAAAACTTTCAAAAGTAAATATGAATATATACATGTATTAAATATATTTTCTTTATTGAAATTCTCGAATGTGACTTAAAACAACATACACTGTACATGTGCAATCAATCATTTCAAATGTTAAGTGCTATTTAAAGTCATTCCAGACTTGATCAAATTCAAAAATCTGTAAAATTGTTTCTTTGATTGTGACAGATAATAAGAGTATTTTATCATACAAATACAGTTTAGAGTGCTTTACCAGAAACATTTAAACATATTCCTTTTTGCAATAGACTACCAAAAAGGAAAGATCAGTTGAAAAATAGAGAAGATATATGTAACCAGTATGAACAAACAGGTTACGTAAGCAAGTGAGTATTTATGGTTAAATTTGCTAATTTATTGTTAATAAGTGAATCTTTGGGTTGATATCTTCTATGTCCACATAATTTATAAGAAGTGTTGGAGAATTTTTTTCAAAGACATACCGATATAGATAAGTTTGGAATATCTCTCTCTCTCTCTCTCTCTCTCTCTCTCTCTCTCTCTCTCTCTCTCTCTCTCTCTCTCTCTCAAGATAAATATTTATTTTATTTTCAGGACAGAAAATTCGGGGTACTTGTACATAGACTCCGTTCAAACTAATTCAGAGTAAGTTTTTTTAATTGTGTTATTTATATAGTTATACTTGTTGTAATCTACCTTTTGAAACGTCTCTAAGAAAGGAAAATGTAATTTATAGCAACTGAGCAGGGTTCTCTTATTCCAGGGATAAAGACGTTAATATGGAAAACATGCTGGTGCCTTTCACAAAGAACAAAGCAGGAAAGAAGGTCAGTTTTAATGTGTGAGTATTGGAATGTGATAGTGTATGTGTGTGTGTGTGGTTACTGTTTAGCATTACGATCTGCGATGTTCATAGGCATCACATCTTTTCATGTGGTCACGAAACATTTAATTTTAAAATGGAGAATTTTGAATATCAGCTGATTGCCTTGAAGTTTTTATTCAGTTGTTTTACCTTATCTAATTTTTCGATTATATTTTCCAAAGTACTGTCATATAACCTCTGTTTAAACACTAAATGTTCAAACAATCGCTTTAGTTTTGATTTCACAGTGGTTCAACAAGACCATTAGTCTAATTTTTGAGTTTTTCACTAGTAGAAAATGTAAAAAAAAAAATAAATAAAAATAAAAAAAAAGAATTAAAAAGTGTAAAAATATTTTTTAAAGATGTTAAATGGAAAAAAATATAAAGTTGCGATCTATACTGTAGATTGAGCTTAAGCAAAAGAAGATGTTGGTTACTAAGACAACTGTTACCACGGTGATGAGAGTTGAGGACCTCCCCGCCGATTTTTGTCCGGAATCTGGGGGTATACCGGTGGATTACTCAAAATCCACGTATTTAGTGCCCGTGAAGAGTGACTCGAAGTTGTTCTAGAGATGAACCAAGAAATATCTAAAGCTCAACATTCAGAAGTGTTATACATGTATATGAAGAAGATTCCTCCAATGAACTTTTTTTAATAGTTGGTTTTTTACATTGGATCATATGATGATTTATTTATACAACGTAGTGTATAGTAAATTTTTCATATATTCTGAATTTCACTATACTGAAAGTATATGTTTGCCATTCGTATTGTTGATAATACGTTTATAATACTGAATTCCACATCACATTAAAATATTTTCCTTCAATGGATATGATTATTGAATGAAAAGGGTGAAACAATGATCAAACTTTAAAATTCTATAAACAATACAAATACTAGTAAGTAGAGATAGCATAAAACACTAACCCCTGGAGATTCTACAGGAAGGATCAGATGATTTAGAGGGGTAAACATCCTTGATGACCCGTCAAACCCGCGATGATTAGGTAGATGGAACATTCCGTAGTCAAATTAAGTATAGAAAAAACAAAGGCTTAAAAATTAGTATAAAACTAGTCAGTCAAAATTCGACCCAATGAAAAGTATAAAACTTTTCTGATGAGTTCATTATAACGACCACATAATTTACGAAGTGCCGGCTTTAAACAAAGTGGTTGAAATATCTTTAATATCAACTTATCAGTCAGTAGCATGCCTCGCTTTTAAAATTGCTCGTACTCAGAACAAACTAATCAGTAGCAATTAAGTAAGATGTAAAACATGACGCCATATCCAGGTGGAATATTACTATTTACATACAATTTGTCATACATTTGTAATACAAATTATTTGTAACCTGACCTCCGTGGTCAGTAAAACATCCAAATATGAAAAAGAAGTGACAGACTCTATGTAATCTTTTATTTTGAGTTCACTGGGATTCATCGAGTCAAGGTATGGATATATTTGTTTATGTAAATTGCTAAAGCATCGTCTAAAAGTTTGAATGTCGAATTGAAGGCACAACATGTGTTTTCCTCTTCTCATGAAGTTTTTTATCAAATTTTGCTTTATAGCAAAATAGTGTAACTGTTAAAGGAGCAATATATGTGTCCATTGTGTCTCCAACAGTTTGTTGGTCACCGAAGACTACATAAATGTCGTCAATGAGGGATATCAGCAGCCAGTTAATATCCACTTTGAACAGTGTACTTGTGTGTACAATCAGGATGGATTGAAATGATGTAATTTTGCTGATGGCCGATCACAAGAGGAGAATATTTCCGAGTTTTATTTTTATTGAAGGAGCAGTTGTTTACGACATCAAAGCTAGGTCTAAATTCATCGTGATGAATTGTTGAATTAAGTGAGGAAAGCATAAGGGTTTTTTTAGGTCACCTGAGTAAACTCAGGTGACCTATTGCTATCTGTTTTCGTCCGTCGTCGTGCGTCGTGCGTCGTCCGTTAACATTTGAACATTTTCAGCTTCTTCTCTGCCAATCTGATTAAAATCAAATCCTTTGATCCGCTCCCGTAGATCGCTACACAACTGGATCTGATCCTTTTGTGTAGCGATCTACGGGAGCGGATCAAAGGATTTGATTTTAATCAGATTGCTTCTCTGCAACCACTGAACCAATTTCAACCAAATTTGGCACAAAGCATCTATGGGTGAAGGGGAACAAAAATTTTGAATTTCATGATCTCTGCCCCCCTGGGGCCTGAGGGGTGGGGCCAAAACCACTAAAATTAATGCAATCTTTAAAAATCTTCTTCTTTACTCCTGGACATCAAGCAGTCAAACTATTTGCATGATTGTAATCAGCATTGAGTCCTCTACCAAAATTGTGAAATTCATTGCCCTTGGGTCAGGGGTTCTAGTGCTAGGGCAGGGCTAAAGAAGTATATAGTGAAAATGCATTATTTCTTTGAAAATCTTCTTCTCTGCTCCTGGGTATCAAATAAACCAACTAAGTACATAGTTATGATGAGCAAGAGTGCCTCTACCAAAATTGTGAATTTTATGGCCCCAGGGTCAATGGTTCTGGTGTTGGGGGGGTTGCCTATATTGATTATATCGCGAACAATACATGAATTCTTTGAAAATCTTCTTCTCTGCTCCTAGGTATTAAATAAACTAACTAAGTGCATAGTTATGATGAGCAAGAGTGCCTCAACCAAAATTGTGAATTTTATGGCCCAGGGTCAATGGTTCTGGTGTTGGGGGGGGGGGGGGGGCTCTATTGATGATATAGTAAAAATACATGAATTCTTTGAAAAATCTTCTTATCTGCCCCTAGGTATTAAATAAACTAACTAAGTGCATAGTTATGATGAGCAAGAGTGCCTCTACCAAAATTGTGAATTTTATGGCCCCAGGGTCAAGGGTTCTGGTGTTGGGGGGGGCTCTATTGATTATATAGAGAAAATACATGAATTCTTTGAAAATCTTCTTCTCTGCGCCTAAGTATTAAATTAACTAACTAAGTGCATAGTTATGATGAGCAAAAGTGCTTCAACCAAAATTGTGAATTTTATGGCCCCAGGGTTAAGGGTTCTGGTGGGGGGGGGGGGGGGGGGGCTCTATTGATTATATAGTTGAAAATATGTTAATTCCTTGAAAATCTTATTATCTGCTCCTAGGTATTAAATAAAATAACTAAGTGCATAGTTATTATGAGCAAAAGTGCTTCAACCAAAATTGTAGGGGTTCTGGTGTTAGGGCGGGGCTCTATTGATTATATATTAAATCTTTGAAAATTTTCTTCTCTGTCTCTGGGTATATAGCAGATGAACTACCTATTTAGTTATGATGAGCAAGAGCCCTAATCTTGCAGAATTGTGAATTTCAAGGCCCCAGGGTCAAGGGTTGGGGGGGGGGGGGGGCTCTACATATATACTGAAAATGAATTAATTGTTTGAAATCTGCTCCTTTGTATTTATAAAACATTTATTTATTTTTTGATAGGCAATTTTAAGGGGGCCTTTTAAAAATTTGTGCAATGTGTGGACCTAGGGTCAGGGGTTTGTGTCATAGTGTTAGGGGCACTACTGATTATTGCTGAATATTACTGATTAGCTGGAGTGCATTTTTGTTCCCCTACCCTGCGTATGGGTATTCAGTAACCAAGCTAAGCAACTGCTAAGTGTATTGTTATGATGATCAATGGTGCCTCTTTCAAAATTGTGAATTAAAACATGAATCAAATTCAATAGACAGTAACTGGAAAATTGTTGCATAATGCTCAGGTGACCTATAAGGCCCGTGGGCCTCTTGTTTATTTTAGAGTTTGGAAATTTTAGTTTTCAAAAGTTCGGGATAGATTTTGAGGATCATCATCTAATTTACACAACTACTAGAAAAAGTTAAGTTGTAGCGCAGTGCGTCTAAATTTTACTCCTCTACAGCATTTAAATTTCTTGTATGGAGTAAGGATAAGGGTTTGGTAGAGTCTCTGCAGCGCTCGACAATGAAATTCTTTTTATAAAGTGATTGATAGAGTTAAGAAATCTAGCAGAGTTAAGGTAGATCAAACTCACCTTGTTTGACTTGTATATTTTAAGTATTAAGCACTGAAATGTTAATTTGTAAAATTTCTTCTTGGAAAGTGAATTGTGAAGATATATTGGATTTCCAAATGGAGAATTACTACTCAGTACCACGTTCAAAAGCAAAACATATACACACAGTATATTGTTAGTCCGTGCAGTTGTGATGAGCAGACTTGAACAATTGAACGCTCACGGTGAATCGTAAACATCAACAATAATAGGGCTCGTGTCCTGTTTACAAAAACTTAGTACGTTTCACGGGTGTGGTCAATTGCTAAGCTCTGTACACAACACTTAGCGCGGAATGACGATACTTGTATGGGGTTTTGCTTTCTAACATTTCTACTCTAAATATAATTATTTTTTTGGATTAAAGTTTTAATATTTTCTAGTAATACACAACAAGATTCCCACTTTTCCTAATTATTAAGAATAAAAGTTAAATTTGTAAGAGCGCAAGAATGTGTCAATCAAACCCATCCAAAAATTTGAAGTTTCAATAACTTAAAGATGAAACAAGATTTTAAATATATTTTTGTGCTATATGCTATTAAAATATATAAGTCGTGATATACAGAAAATATTAACTTTAAATCTGTGTCCATGCACCTTTAACCCCTCCATTTGTATTATTCTTACATGTATTTGTTTTATTTATGATTTTCCATTTGTATTTAAAATATTTTTTTATTTTTACACATTGTATATTTTTTTTAATTTTATTTTACATTTCGATTAGCATTATATATAAATAGTTCTCTTATTTGTATACCTTTTTCATTTGTATGCAATATTCTTTCATTTTAGTTGTATCCGAGGAGGAGGATCGTCAAAACCACTTCCCAGTCTGTAATACTTTTTAAAATATTTCAATCAACAATCGTAACATATTCACATTAATGATTTTGCATTTATTCATTGACATACATATAATATATAACTGTACATGGTGAGTATAGATCACTCTTATCAACGTGTCGTATTTTCCTTCCTTAAACTATCTTAAGGATAAATCAAATAAACTTCTTTGGAAGGGACAATTTTAAAAAGAATTCATGTACATATTAATACTATGTGATCTTTCACCCATAGGTTTTTATTCACTAGTCCATCTATAGTAAAGGGGTTATCGTTCTTTTTACCTCGGGTTAATACAGTACTTGAGGTAAATGCGACTG